CTTTGAGCAATCTATATAAGTATCATTAACCCTGTTAATGACAACAGGGTTGCCATATCTAAACTGTCATTACCCACTGGTAGCCATTTGGACAGGTCGTTGGAATGCCTAATAGAATAATCAATAATTCACAATAAGCTTGGGCTTGAATGTAGTGTTAAGTCAAACGTCAAACTTCACTTCATTTGATTCTTCTTTTAAATTTGAATTATGTAAACCGTGCAAGTTTCCGTCCGACTGAAAGACGTTTGTGAGACGTCTTAAAGACGTCTTTGAGCTTTCACATTAATATATGGATTTGGAAAGACGTCTTAAAAACGTCTTTGAGCTCTCACATTAATACGTCTGAATTATGGCTTTTGACAGACGTCTTATAAGACGTCTTAATAACGTCCTAGGACATTGAGACCAAACCAAGACACAAAAAAGACGTCTTTCAGACGTCGTGTGCTATCTGGGAACTACATAATAACATTATCACGTTCAATATGGAATGTACTCGAAAGCGCCTTCGCCATAGTCGTCACATATGTTTGGTATTAAGGGGTTTAATTTTGTATGATAATCGGACAAGTTGAACCTCAAAGGCCGAATAAGACAGAGAGGGACTTGGAGGATTAGAGCATGATTGAATATTGAAATGGCTCGCATTACAATACTATTCTGTCTGCCCACTAACTCTCTTCTTTTGGTTGTTTTTATCACTCATGCGAACTAATTACCCATAGTTATAATGTCTCTTAGTCTCTCATTTCAATAAAGTAATCCTAAAAACTGCAATTCCAAGGCTATTCTTAAATAATTGAAAAAATTTTCTAATAAAACCAGGTTAAATCAGTCGAAGATCATTTTATTTGGGGGTAATATAGAATAAAACCCAGTCGTTAATGCTAAACAGAAATGGAATCCGGATCCGGTTGGTATTATTTAATGTTATGAAGGTGCTATCCACGTTCTTTATTAACGCAGCTTTCCTGACACCCCAAAATATTAGAGATGACTCAATAGAATAATTAGTTATTTTGACTACGAATCAGCTAAATGTACAACGTGTCGTAAGACCTAAGTGCTACGACAAAAACGAATCGCTGGAACGTACAGTACGTTAACCGACGCATCAAACAAAATACAAATGAGACGCTTAATTATATTTGAACGTGAGAAATATAAAGAGAGTAATTGGTTTATGTATAACTTGGGCTATTATAGTTTATAAAAATGAAACACTTTATTGCTTGTAGTTGCATTTAATATCAAACCGTTACATACGGAAAACGGGCTAACCAGTAACACATGGTAGACGCCAGACATAACCTATTTGTCCCTTTATTCGTTAATGATTAATATACATGCTGTTTCAAAAAGATTGGTCATAAATTATACCACATATTCTTGGGTCAAAAATAGGTCGATTAAACTGTACTTACCTATATACAAAAGTGCACCCAAAAATAGTTACAGGGTGTATAAAATAAAAATTTAAATGAATTTTTTTAACGTTGCTCTTAAACCGTTTGACATTTTTTTCATGAAATTTTATATGACGTGCTGGAATACCATGATTAACAAAATCGAGGTAGAGGCAATATTTTTTTCTTGATTTTTATAGGTTTTTGGAGGGGGTCACAGCTCTTTTCTCCGCTCAACTTTTTTGTAGTATTAAATTTAATTACAAATGAAACGCCACTGGAATGAACCATCCATTTGGAAACTTTTTTGTTTCTATTAGTATTTGTTTGTAAAAAATTTAGTTTAGACGATACAGTCATTTTAAATGACAACTTAAAAATATTCAATGGAAATTCTACGTATGAAAAATATCAAAATCAAGTTTATTTTTAAATTACAAACTAATGCCATCAAAATAAAAAAAATTAATTTAAGAGGTGTTTAAAATTACATTCTCCTCCTGTATACACTTACTACATAGTTTTAACAATGAAAATGAAATTTTGATATTTTTGTATATGTATAATTTACATTGAATATTTTTAAGATGTCATTTTAAGTGGCTGTATCGTCTAAACTAAACATTTTACAAACAAATACTAAGAGACAAAAAAGTTTCCAAATAGATGTTGCATTTCAGTAGCGTTTGATTTTTAATAAAATTTTATATTACAAAGAAGTTGACTAGAGAAAAGGGTGGTAACACCCTCCAAAATCCTACAAAAATAAAAAAAAATATATTGCCTCTACCTCGATTTTGTTAATCATGGTATTCCAACACGTCATATAAAATTTCATGAAAAAATTCATTTAAATTTTTATTTCATACACCCTGTAACTATTTTTGGGTGCACTTTTGTATATAGGTAAGTACAGTTTAATCGACCTATTTTTGACCTAAGAATATGTGGTATAATTTATGACCAATCTTTTTGAAACACCCTGTATATTTAAACTATGGATATGGAACATTAGGCAACACATTTTACATAATGTATTGTGGATTGCGTATCCACAGAACCTATATAATTAGCTATTCTTATACTAATAATACCATATACAGTTTAACCACGCCCTTTCGACGCTAAGGACGGAATATTGTGGTCAGCAGTCGGCGAATTATTATTCTATATCTCTCTATTCAGTAGCATTGTGTTTTTATACCGTTCTCCTGGAGTCAGGATTGAAAAGATTACATATTGTATATATACGGTTTGGAACATCGAAAGCCTTTTGGAAAATCAAGTTGAACGCTGTACGCTATCGAATTATGTGTCGACTTACCAAATCTCGTAATACCTAGGTTATATCCGAGTGAATGTCCCACTACCACTTGCCAGTGGTATAGCTAATCTTTGATGTTCTACATTATCAAATCTGGTTGTACTTTCTATTTTGCCAAGGTATTTTTACCGTATAACATTATTGACACTTAGAAGTTGTGCTTACAGCTTCTTTCCAAAAATTTTACTTGAAATCATAATTTTGATTTGCTATTTGTGTTTTTCCCAATCCTCTTAATATTTGCAATTGATCCTACAACCTTTATGCAGTCTAGAAGTCCGTCCCGTATATTTTACACGTGACTTCGGCCAGACCGTTTTTGCTTACGATACTCATCGACAAATAAAAAATAGCTAACGAAGTGTTAACTACAATAATTTGTAGTTTAGTTTTTGATTATACCTGTAATAGTCGTGATTATACCCGTAATAGACGTTATTTACTACAATTATGTTTTATTTCTGTGTCATTTGGACACAGACGACATCAGAAGTGGTTGATAAAGAAAAATGAGTGTTGAGAGACAAGGGCTGTGATGTTTCGTGCAGTTTTTTTTTTTCGACATGGTACAAAAGAAGGAGAAAACGATATCAGTCGCCTTTATCGTTCATCAACATCAAGTGAGAAAAATTGTAACAGTAAGAGTAGGGGTGAATATAAAAAACAGAAAAAAAAATCAGAAGTCGATCAACCATGTGTACTTTGATTAAATTATATTTACTTAAAATTTATAAGATTTTGATCCAAACAGTCTTGTGCTATAAAAGGCATTAAGCTGTTCACAACAGCTTTTGAACTACACCGGGGCAATGGCTTAGCAAAATGTTTGAACAAGACTATACTCGATGTTCTTTTCACATTAAGTGCTGACACGAAACATCGAATAACTCAACACTCTCCCGCAGTGCTACTATTCGGCTATCCACTCAGAACAGAATGTCCAACGGAGATATTGTAAATATCACAAAGATATGTATGCAAGTAGACCAGAATCTAGAAAACAGAGTCAAACAAAGCTCGACCTTCAATGTACAATTCACCACCAGTTATACAGAAGCCCTCTTAGGCAATACAGAAGCCCTCTTATGCAATACAATAGCCCTCTTAGGCAACACAGAAGCCCTCTTAGGCATTACAGTAGTCCTCTTAGGCAATACAAAAGCTCTGTTAGGCAATACAGAAGCCCTCTTAGGCAATATAGTAGCCCTCTTAGGCAACACAGAGGCCCTCTTAGGCAATACAGTTAGCCCTCTTAGGCAATACAGTAGCCCTCTTAGGCAATACAGAAGCCCTCTTAGGCAACAGTAGCCCTCTTAGGCAATACATAAGCCCTCTTAGCCAATACGCACACTTCGGCAATACAGAAGCCCCCTTAGACAATACAGAAGCTCTCATAGGAATCGCAGCAGCCGTCTTAGGCAATGTAGCAGCCCTCCTAGGTAATACCTAATAGGTATGTATCACAGCAGCCGTCTTAGGCAACATAGCAGCCCTTTTAGGCAATACAAAAGTCCTCATAGGTATGTATCACAGCAGCCATCTTAGGCAACATAGTAGCCCTTTTTGGCAAACTGGCAAACCTCTTAGACAAGACAGTTCCTCTTTAGAAGGGTTACTGCTCATTGACAAAGTACTCTGCTACTTAAATACCTTTTAGGCGTACGAGAAATATATTTGTACAATGTGTATTTTATTTCAGGACCGTTGGGTCTTTCGAGGACGGAAGAATATCAGGATGGCCGTGCAGTCTGGCAGTCCGTCCCGTATATTTTACACGTGACTTCGGCCAGACCGTTTTTGATTACGATACTCATCGACAGATAGACTATAGCTACCGAAGTGTTAACTACAATAATTTGTAGTTTAGTATTTGATTGTACCCGTAATAGACGTTATTTACTACAATTATTGTTTTATTTCTGTGTTATTTGGACACAGACGACATTTATTTATGTTTTCAGCAACCTAATCACCTACTTTCTATTAAGTATGCAGCTTAAAATTTTGATCAATGATTTTTACTTTCCTCTAATCTATAAGGAAAGTATAGGAAGGATCTTTGAGATCTGTATCCATTTTGACCATTTTTGGTCATAATCTGAATATTTGGGGGGGGGGGTCTTTATAGGAGACGTTTTCTAGTTTAAGGCAGATTAGAAAAGAAAATTCTTCAAGTAAGAATTGTTTGTAATGTAATTCTCTACAATTTTTAACATATTACAAGATTTTTGTGAATTGAACCGTAATAAATAAAATTTTTGTTCCAGATTATCAACTTTTACTGTGGAAACAACTTTCATTAAACAATTTTGGATGTCATATGGGCGCACTAAATAGCAATATAACTTACTCATTTCCAGAAGAACATCAAATATTTTTATTAGATTCAAGCTGTAAAGATTCTGATAAAATACTTAGAAAAGTAAAAAACAAATTTTTATTATTCGATCTCAACTACCAATGTTTACTTTATTATTTTATCTTTTTTAAGGCCGATGAATTAAATTTGTTCAACCAACCGTTCAGATGGCTAATATGGGGCAAAACAGATTACCGAATTTTCGAAGGCTTCTATTTGAGATTGGATAGTCAAGTTTTTGTGATAGAAAAAACCACAACAAATACGTACCGTATCAAATTATTGTATAAACTTACTGAACATTCCGTGGAATATTTAGACAATGAATTGGCAGAATGGGAAAAAGATCAAGGTTTTACGGTATACAAGGAGTTATCGCATTCGAGAAATAGGACGAATTTGATGGGTCTGAACTTACATATTTCATATGTTGTTACTAATAAGGATACTATGCATCACTTGGAAGATTACAGGTATCTTAAAACGTAAAAAAAAACGATCTAATTGATGTTTCTAATCCTATCTTTCAGTCCTACTGAACTTTTCTCTTATTATATATAGTCCCTCATCTGACTGCAAAAATTGGCATGTCGTGTTTTTTTGCTTGCTATTTGTAATTAGGTACAGGGGAGGGGTCAAACAATATATACTATATCCCGGTGGTGGGAGCGGTCGTATAACCTGTCAAATTCAAAATAATGTTTCATATCGATGAAGTTTTTCGTTCTTTGCTGATAATGAAATAACTTTTATTCCAGATATCTATAACAATAAAAAAATCCCTTTGCAAGCATTTTGTCTTCCGATTTTGCAACTTTCTGTGATAATGTAGGAATTACCCTACATCGAAATTAAAACAAACTTCATTTTACTGATCATTCTATTCTAAAGCAAACACGATATAGGCAATAATAACGGTCTAAGAGTAATAAATTTAGTCATAGAAAAAGATATGAAAATCATGAGCACACACTTCAAAAGGAAAGATAGTCACAAAGGAACATGGATTATACCAGGTACCACAAAGACAAATCAAATAGATCACTTTCTCATTAAGGAACGGGACGCAAACTTAGTAAAAAATGTTAGATCATACAAAGGAGCAGATGCAAACTCCGATCACTTTCTAGTTATTGTTAACATAATTCTAACATAACGGAAAAAGGTAAAACAAAACATCTATAGAAATATAAACACAACATATAACATGGAAGAATTACAAGTAAACGAGGTATCAACGAGATATAGAGCAGACATAGAAAGAAGTCTAGACAATACACCAGTTTTAAACATGGCCAACATAGTAGAGAAGAAATGGAATAATATAGAGAATGCGATAAAAACATCAACTGAGAAAAATATTAATATGAAAAAACGTAGAAAAGAAAGGAATGGCTAGATAACGAAAGTGATGAAGAAATAAAAAAAACACACAAACTGAGAGAAAAATACCTACAAACAGAGAACGATACAGACGGAAAAAAATATATAGAACAAAGAAAGGCTGTTAAAAAATGTGCAGAAATAAGAAAAGGCGTAAACAAGAAAAAAAGTCGCAGAAATACAAGAAAATTAAAAAAAAGTGAAATTAAACATTTCTATAAAGATGTAAAAGGTATACAAAAAAAAACACTCGCCAAAAAATATTTACATCAAGGATGGAAATTTATTAGGAGGAAAAAGCGAGCAAATGCAAAGATGGAAACAATACTTCCAAAAATTACTGAACGATGAACCTGAACGACAGAAAGTAGTAGTAGAAGAAGAAGAAGAAGAAGAAGAAGAAGAAGAAGAAGAAGAAGAAGAAGAAGAAGAAGAAGAAGAAGAAGAAGAAGAAGAAGAAGAAGAAGAAGAAGAAGAAGAAGAAGAAGAAGAAGAAGAAGAAGAAGAAGAAGAAGAAGAAGAAGAAGAAGAAGAAGAAGAAGAAGAAGAAGAAGAAGAAGAAGAAGAAGAAGAAGAAGAAGGAGAAGAAGAAGAAGAAGAAGAAGAAGAAGAAGAAGAAGAAGAAGAAGAAGAAGAAGAAAAGAAAGAAAAAGCAAATGAAAACCCTATGTACACCGCTGAGGAACCCACAGAAGAAAAGATAATAGAATAATAGAAATTATTTAAAATATGAAGAAGAGTAAAAGCCTCGGATCAAACAAAATTACCGCAGAGAACCTAAAATATGGAGGACAACAACTAATAACAGAAATAATACAACTAATCAGCAGCAGTAATACTGCCAATATATAAAAAAGGGGACCCAGCAGACTGCGGAAACTATCGAGGTATAGCTTTGCTGGACGTTACATATAAGGTACTAGCCACGTTAAAAAGAAGAATGGAAGTAGAAGGAGAAAAAATTATCGGAGAATACCAATGCGGCTTTAGAAAAGGCAGGTTAACGACTGATCAAATCTTTATTTTAAAACAGGTACTCACATGTTGCTACGAATACGAAATACCGACCCATATTATGTTTATGGATTTTTAAAAGCGCATATGATACAGTAAATCGACGAAAATTGGTGAATGTTTTGAAAGAACTTAAAATACCTCTTAAACTTGTAAAACTGACGAACATGACCCTAGAAAATACAAGGTGTGCAATAAGAGTCAAAGGTGAGGAAACCGAAGAATTTGAAGTCCAAAACGGGCTTAGGCCGGGAAACCCATGATCCACCCTTCTTTTTTACTCAACCCTTGAAATAGTCATCAGAAACAGTGGAATAAACAGATATAGAACCCTGATCAACAGATCCCACCAAGCATTAGCATACACAGATGATGTTGTACTGTTAGCGAGAAGTCAAAAAACTTAAAAACATAACAGAACAGTTGTTAGACGGGGCAGGAACAATAGGGCTAAGAATAAATGAAAAGAAGAATCAGTACATGCAACTCAAAAACAAACATTTAAGAAAAAATCCTGGAAAGCTAGAATTACACATTAAAACCATAGGAACAATAACAATAAACGAAAGACAGTTTCATGTACCTCGGTGTTCTGATTACCAATAAATGCGAAGAACAAGCTGAAATAGATGTCCCTCTAGCAAAGAGCAATAGATGCGCAGGAGCTTTACATAATTTACTAAAATCAAAAAAATTGTCATGGGAAATAAAGAAATGTGTGAACAAAACAATAATCAGACCTACAATGCTATACGGCAGTGAGATATGGATACTAAATAAGAAAGAACAGACCAAGATTGAAATATGAGAACGAAAGATACTAAGAAGAATAATATATGGGGGCAAAAAGACAGAAGAAGGATGGAAAAGACGAACAAACAAGGAAATCTACGAAATATTTAATGAACCCAACATATACGAAATAATACAGTCAAAAAGGGGCACTTAGAAAGGATGGAGGACTCAAGGACAGTAAAAAGAGTAGCTTGGACAACACCGGAAGAAAAAAAAAGAGAGGAATGAAATGGAGAGAATCGATTGTTGCGGATAAAGGGATGAAAGTTATACTCGGATAGCTCAAACAGACTCACCTTGTGTTTCCCTACAAATTGATCGGGAATCAGCCGTTCGGGTGCCCATACACTTCACGTTGTCTAGCGGTATACTCGATATAAACGGTGCAAATAGTAATTAGCGACTGCCGGCTGGACAGTGTACACACTGTGTACTTATCACACGCTACCGAGCCGGCTTGAGCATAAAAATACGCGAAAAACTAGACCTTATTAAAAGGTACAATATTTTAGCCGCAACATCGATTATAGAAGATATTAAAGAAAAAAAGTTCAACTGGAAAGAAAAAGCCAAGAATAGGGACGAATGGAAGAAACTAACCAGGCCATAGACCTCAACAGTCTGTTTCGAGCCTTATATACTCGTATATGGATACTAACATCAATTTTCGTAAAAATATGTTAAGCTGTTTTAGAATAAGAGCAACAAATCACTTCTAAAATGTTTACTTTATCACCCTGTAACTTTTTTACTATCCTTTTTTTCTATAAGCGAGTTAGCTTAAATCGATTCATTTTGGACCCCAGAAACTGTGGTTAAATTTACTATAAATCTTTTTGTTACACCCTATATGATACATTTAATTAACACATTTAACATCCCCATTTTAACCAAAATAAATTTTACCAATTTACCGGCAATTATTTTCTCAGAAATAAACACATAGATCCAATATCAAAACTAAATTGGTTTATAATGAAGCACCTATTAACAATTTTAAATGCAACTTCAACTCCCCTATTTCAACCAAGTTGGGGCTATAGAGATGTAAATGATACATCGAAGTTTACGGGAATGATAGGAGACTTACAGTCAGGAAGAGCTGAATTTGGAGGTAACTAAACATTTCAACGGTGTTTTGACAAAAGGGCGTAAGCGACAAAATTAGTCAAACCGAGATATTTATGTGAAATTTAACCTGACAGTATTCCATATCTATACCACAAAAAGATTTAACTACCAAAAATCCCGATCGCAAAATATGTAAACGGCAAAATCTAGTTTCGTTTCAAGGTTAGTAACCACCAGACCGTCCATAAGAAAACACTTGTTTAAATCTGAGAGCTTATAAAGTGGCAAAAATGTTAAATTTTATTTTGAATTTTATTAAACACTAATATTTTTTTAACAATTTCGCTAAAACGTGCAATGTCGCTTACGTCCTTTCGATAAATTGAAAAGCGTGCCATTCCGTCATGTAATTTAAATGGGCTAAATTTTTCTATTTATTACAATAATATAAACTCGATTCTATTATTTAACAAAAAAATGTTTTTACATACATAATATCCTGTATTATTACATTCACGTCTATGTTTTTTAAATGCATTATGAAAAAAAATGAACTTAACCCTTAAATCGAAATACCGGTCTCTCAGACTTTTACTATAGTTTTATTTTGCGTTGTGGCAAAGTCGCTTCGCCTAGAGATATCCCTTCCATAGTGACTTCATACCATTCAGTTGAGTATATTTTGGCGGTATGAGAATTTAGTTTCGAGCCGCCTGTTCTGAATAAAGTATTGTTTCTTAAAAACTTGCCGATACTGCAGACCGGATGTTTCTGTTTGCGATCTAAAATTAGAAGGTATGTACGACCGTATGTTTCTGTTAGTGTACAGTTTTATATTTCTGTATAAATTATTTCCTTTCAAGGTATGGAAAAACCCATTTTTTTTTTAGAAGTTTATAATGGACATTCCAAGCACAAGTAAGTAAGTGATCCAGATTATATTATGACAGATAAGAGCGATGAAGAGATTGAAGAAAAGACAAATACTAAAAACAATCAGTGAAATAAAACTGGTAGTGAAAATACCTCGGAAAATAGTGATCAGGAGTACGACCTTTTGGAAACAAACCAAGAAATCGTTGCCATGGCTAACAATGATGATGTAGAGAACGTGCAATTTTTCATCGGAAAAAATAACAAAAAAGATTTTCTATGGAGTAAGCAACCACCACCTGCAACCAGAAGAGTACCAAGTCATAATATAATTAGACAGATGCCTGGACTGACGCGAAAGGCTGATAATTTGCCAATCCAACTATACCTGAAATCTGGAAGTGCCTGTTTGACCAACAAATGGTTGATAAAATAGTTTTACAAACAAATAAGAAGCTATCATCTGTAAGAAATAAGCTCAAACCAGGAAGTAATGTTTCGAACTACCGAAATACCGACACAATGGAAATCCATGCTCTTATTGGCTTACTTATGTATACCTCTATTTTCAAATCTGGCCACAAAAATATGGTTTCACTTTTCTCTAAAGACCTAAATTTAGAGCAACAATGGGGTCTATTCTGTAATAATTCCTTTATATTTAACGGCCTTTAAAAATATTGGCGACCTTTAAAAATATGTTTGTATTCGTTAATTTACTTCTGTCATTATTTAAACAGATTTCTTTAAGATGGTCCTCTAATGTATTTTAAAGATCCGTTTAAATAATGACAGAAGTAAAGAAGAAAATATTTTTAAAGGCCTTTAAATATAAAGGAATTGTTACAGAATATACCCCAATGTCTGTTAAACGATTTGAAATACTAAACACCTGTCTTCGGTTCGACGATGCCACGACACGTGAAGAAAGAAAAGAAATGGATCGTGCTGCTGCAATTTCGGAATTATTTGAGCTGTTTATACGAAATTCGCAGGAAATGTACTACCCTAGTAAGAACATGACTGTGGATAAAATGCTTGTTCCTTTTAGAGGAAAGTGTGGCTTTCGCAAGTACATGCCAAAGAAGCCCGCCAAATACGGCATAAAAATTCAGTGCATGGCGGATTCAGATACTTCCTACTTATACAATGCGTACATTTACACAGGAAAAGTTAGTGATGGAAAAGGGCTATCTAATGAAGAACGTAAACTAATGAAACCAATACAATCAACTTTGCGCTTATGCAAGCCAATCGGAGGATCCAATCGCAATATCACTGCAGATAACTGGTTCTCTCCTATAGAATTAGTGGAAGAACTTAGAAAAAGAAAATTAACTTTTGTAGGTACCATGAAAAAGAATAAAGCTGTAATTCCACCAGAATTCAAGTCTGATAAGAAGAAACCCGTCGGCTCAGCTCTGTATGGATTTGCAAATGACCAGCCTACTACATTTTTGTCCATCGTGCCTAAAATAAACAGAACAGTTGTACTGATATCCTCCATGCATCACAACATTGAAACTGATCCTGATAAAAATAAACCCGAAATTACAACAAAACAAAAAGTGGTGTTGATCTACTCGACATGAAGAGTGCGTTATAATTGTCCAACAGGAGAACCAGAATGTGGCCACTAGTAGTTTTCTATACCATTGTCAATATCAGTTGTATAAACAGTTTTATAATATATCTGCTTTACCGAGAAAATCCTATGGTGAAAAGGTTTGAATTCATAAAAAGCTGCCAGGTTCTCTACTGGAACCCCATCTTCGTAGGCGTCGCAATATTCCTAATATTCCGCGAGAAATTAGGGCACTAATAAACCAACACTTATCCACTGGCAATGGAAATGATGCTACTGGAGACCAAATTCCGAGCGACAAGCTTGAGAAACGTAAAACGTGTTCAAAGTGCCCATCCTCGAAATTAATTTAAGATTGGATTTTAAATCAGTTGTAAAAGCGCAGTGGTGTAGCCACGGGGGGGGCTTTGGGTGGTTAGAACACTCCTAATGGAGGGCCTTCACGCCATCGTTTACGTCATAGTTTGCGTCATGTTCATCGTTTACTTCATAGTTTACGTCATCGGTTACATCATCGTTTACATCATCGTTTACGTCAGAGTTTACGTCATCGTTTACGTCATCGTTTACGTCATCGTTTACGTCATCGTTTACGTCATCGTTTACGTCATCGTTTACGTCATCGTTTACGTCATCGTTTACGTCATCGTTTACGTCATCGTTTACGTCATCGTTTACGTCATCGTTTACGTCATCGTTTACGTCATCGTTTAGGTCATCGTATTGGCGTTTGTTTTATTCACTTTTTTATCGTTTTATAAAAAATTATTTAGTTTTATCTACTTTTTTTTAATAAATACAATCTTATTTAAAAAAACCCTCCTATGAAAAATTTCTGATTACTCCACTGTATAAACGACATATAAATTACTGTGAAATGAAACAAGGAAAGCGTAAGAGAATTGTAACCGCCACTGTCTTCGTATTTTTACAAAATGGTAAAGGCGTAAATGCACCAAAGAAAGAGCAGTACATTTATGAAAATAAGATTTTTTTGAAAGGCGTAAGCGACAAAAATGGTATTATTTTATATATTTTAGCTTATTTGTAATAATTTTTGCTAGGAAGAATTAGCTTAAGATATATCGAAATGATTTACACAAAAAACGCATGAAAGAATAAAAATTTAAAGCTAAAACATGTTTCTTCACATCTATTAGGTTCAAGCCGCTTACGCCCTTTTGTCAAAACACCGTCGATTTTATTTTGTGCTTATTATTGCAATACTCTTAAGATAAAAATAAAATAATGTCTCGTCTCATAGGGACATACTGTTTTTTCAAACCTTATTTTTAGGTACTTTATTATCAAATGTCATTAGGTTTTCTTTTTCCAGGGACAGCTTTGTTTTTTACAATTGACAGAATAGACGTCATAGATTACATCGCACCCAGCGTTCCGACTTTTATGAAATTCATCTTCAGGGCCCCACCGCTATCTTATGTCTCAAATGTGTTCACTCTTCCATTTGATACCTACGTCTGGTACAGTTGTTTTGCACTTGTCCCACTGATTTTTGTCGTTGTTTACGTTATCGTCATTTGGGAATGGAGAGACCCTGTTTTTAAGGAAAAAGTGGATGAATTACATTCAAATTGTATCGCTCCTTTAAGACCGGGCTTTTTTGATGTTTTAGTCATGGAATTGGGAGCTATAACGCAACAAGGTACGATATAAATTTCATTTCACTCAACTTAGATAATATTTCCTTATTTTGTAGGTACTGATACTGAACCAAAGAGCAATTCTGGAAGAATAGCGACCGTTTTTGCATTTATAGCTTGCATGTTTTTGTACACCTCTTATTCAGCGAATATTGTGGCCATTTTGCAATCTACAACGGAAAGTATAAAAACTTTAGAAGATTTGCTAAACTCTAGGATTTCTTTAGGTGTTGAAGATATAGTTTACAGTCATTATTACTTCAAAGTAAGTATTGCGTCGCTCATGATCTAATAGTAACTAATAAATCGTTTTTTAGACTGCTGAAGAACCTGTTAGAAAAGCCATTTACCAACAAAAGGTGGCACCCAAAGGACAAAAGCCAAATTTTTTTACCATCGATGAAGGAATAAGTCGGGTTCAAAAAGGGTTCTTTGCTTTCCATGTCGAGGTTTCTAATGGGTATAAAGTCGTTGCAGATAAATTTCAAGAGAACGAAAAATGCAGCTTAAAAGAAATCGCATTTATTAACCTCATTGAACCTTGGGTATCAATTAAAAAACGGTCTGCTTATAAAGAAATTGTTAAAGTAGGGTAAGCTATTAAAGTATTTACCTTGAATAACTATTTTCAAATAACTGTTTAAACCTTGGTGTTTTAGATTGAGGAAAATTTTGGAATCGGGCATTCAAAGAAGAGAGATCAATCGTCTCTATTCCAAGAAACCGATTTGTCACAGCAAGGGTAGTAATTTTGGCAGTGCTGCCATTTTGGATTGTTACGCTGCATTTCTTCTTTTCGGAATAGGAATTTTTATAAGTTTCTTAATATTATCTTTCGAAATTTTGATCAAAAGAAAAATTGATCGGATAGTAAGTAAATGCGAAACTATTCCCTTCAGACCTACAGCGGATAATATGGAGAAAAACTACTCTAATGAAATATCTTAAATATATTGAAAGTCTATTATTAATGAACTGTAAAATTTATGTTGTAGCGGCTGCTGATTCACGTACAATAAAATGAGTTAACTTGCATTGCTTGAGCGAATATAGCAACGGATTTTGGATAAAGAAAAAAATCCCAGTATCAAAAAAAATATCGTAGGTGCGTGCGTATGTGCACCGACACGATAACTATAGAACGATCGACTTACGCTTTTGATTGTAGTTGATAATTTCTTCCAGCGGAAAACCCTATTAATTTTCAGAATTTTTGGTTTAACTTTAATGCTTTAATATCAGTGTTTTTAAAATGCAATGCATTTTTTATGGAGCTTATTTTATGCGCGGTGGCACCAAAGAGGTTAGAAAGGGTAGAGGTAACATAGGAAGCATTTCTCGCTGCGCGAATTTTGCCAAAACCGAAAAACTGGGTGGAAGGAGTAGGGAGGTGTTCTGGGCCGGACTTAAATATTTGTATTGTAGTACCTAATTTTGGTGGGTAATTAAAAGATGAAAAATTATGAGACGTTTGTTTGACTTTATTTGTTAGCACGATTCTTGTATGATGAGGGCAATAACACTTTATCAATATATAACTAGCTAAGGGCCGATTCCACCGTTGTGTCAAACGAAGTTTAAATTAAAACGAAGATTAAAATGACATTGTTAATATAAAAATGTCATTTTAAACACCATTTAGTAATTTAAACTTCGTTTTTGTTAATATAAAAATGTCATTTTAATCTTCGTTTAGTATTTTAAACTTCGTTTAATAAAACGGTAAAATCGACCCTAAGTAAAAGTTTATAAGTACTTTTTGCTCGAATTACACAAAAGATTTTTTCTACGATCACACCAAAATAAAATAAATAACTAAATTTTATTAGAAATGGGTTACCTTTTCGTTCGTTATAATATTTTAAGTTTATTTGACATAGGCCTACTGTTCTAAGAGAAAAAAATGTTTTGGTACTTATATCCTGGTAATTATTTATGATTTAATTATTTACGGAAAATACCGTCCAATGAATTAAAATATTAGAAAGTCAATTAATAGTTATTTATGTAACCAGTTACGAAATGCCTTATTTTGTGTAACGAGTAAATATTTGCAAAACGAGCGGCGCGAGTTCCCGCAACATGAACGACTTACACAAAACGGCATTTCGTAACGTGTTTATATACAAGATTTTTTCTAATTTTGACGTGATTATTTATAAAATTGTGTTGAAAAATTATTCACCATCATTCTTGTGTAGGTATTTCCAATCAAATATTTTAGAAAATTATTGTATTTGATTGCCCTACGACGTTTTTTTTTTTCAATAGTAATAATAAAAATAAGGGACATGTGCAGTGTTGCCGATCTAATTTTTGACATTACCCGCGAGAAATTTGAAAAAAAAACATTTTTACCCAATATCCTTAAAGAAGTACGTCAAAATTTTACCCCCAACATTTCTGGGCAGTTTTCAATAACGGTGTTATTTTAAAAATTAAACGCAATTTACAGCTTCTCTTTTTTTGTTTTTAAACGTAATGTCATATTTTCAAATGTGAAATGTCACTATTCATTGCCTCTTTTTCGATATTTGGTTTTTTCGATTTTTCGTTTTTTGGATTTTTGGATTTTTCAATTTTTTATTTTTAGATTTTTCGATTACTCGATTTCTCGATTTTTCGATTTCTCGGTATCTCAATTTCTCGATTTTACGATTTTTCAACTTAGAAACCAAAAACGAGGCAGTTTTATTTATTTTCATTTCGTAACTGGTGACATAATCAACTTTTCGTAATCAGTTGCATAATGTTCTACTTTATGCAAATGTCCATATAAATATTCATTAAATTTATTTAAGCCAAAAATTATTGCAAGGATCTCTCTTTCAATTTGGGAATATTTTTGTTCGGACTTTGATAAGGTACGCGAAGCAGAAACTATAGATTTCTCAATATTTTTTTTTTTTTTCAAAAACGACATATCATGGCCCTTATTCCCACATTTGATGCATCTACGAATAATTTAATCGGCTGAAAATGCACAAGAGCATCATTTATTTTTGATTTATTCCAAAGATTCCTTGCAAAAATTATCCCAAATCTATTTCACCCATAAAAAATTAAATAAAAAAAAGTCCTAAAGCAAAATCATATCCTCCTTCCTGTTAGTGACTTAAAAAAATTACTTCCCAAAAAACGGTCCTCAAGCCAGGTCCCTCCATTTTGTGGCGATAGTACTGTTTTTTTTTTATTGTGATTATTTTCTTCGCGGAAACTTTGGCTTTACACTTAAAGTAACACTATTATAGAGAATTACTAAATAAATAGTTTTGAGAAAACTATTGAAACCAGTTGTGAAGTTTGAAACGAATAAATTGGCAATGAAATTGATATTTTTGTATTTGATTGTATGTTTCTCTTTTCACTTCCTAAAAAAAGATTCCCTATGAAACAAGAAATAGTAAACAGTTTATAATAATAACCTTTATTTGCTACTTATAACATGTACCAATGACCAAGTCCGATTCTGTTTATTTTCAAATCAACAAATATGGACGTCGACAGAATCTTTAAAAATTAAATATCTCACCGAAATAAATATAAGTTTCTTTTATCTCCGTCACATTTCGCAGGTTTATTATAAATAAAGCTTTTTACAACACATCTTGGCATTTTCAACGTTAATTTCCAAAATTTAAGTCACTAAAATACCAAATTAATTCTCGTTGACACATTAAATTTGAATGGACAACGGTCTGACATGTAATGTTCTCAACTGTGATTGGTGGGTGTGAATCATTTTGAAATGGGATTATGCGCAGTGTCTTATGTTCCATCTAAGGTTTGTATAATCTAAGGGTGGCACAGATACTGATTTCACTAGATAGTCGTGCTTATCAACTGTGAAACCATAGACATTTTGTTTCTATATTGCTAACATTCTTAAAAGTCAAATATAAGTTGTTAAATGATGATGTTAAAAGTTGTTTACACGTTAAAATATGCTTATTTATTTTCAGGTTATATTAAAGTGCAAGAACACATTCTGTGACAAAAAAACACAAAATAGTCTTAGGGGTTGAAGTTACTCCCATGAACCATATCAGAAGCTTCGGGGCCACGTGAATTATATTTAACTTCATCTTCAGGCTCACCTAGTGGAAAGGAGAATATGTGGTGTAAGGTGTGTTAACTTGGAGCAAACGATATATAAAATATTAAAAAGAGAAAACTCACCATACTCTCCATCCACTACTACAAAACAAGTTTCATCAAATGTTGTTTACACGTTAAAATATACTTATTTATTTTCAGGTTATATTAAAGTGCAAGAACACATTCTGTGACAAAAAACACAAAATAGTCTTAGGGGTTGAAGTTACTCCCATGAACCATATCAGAAGCTTCGGGGCCACGTGAATTATATTTAACTTCATCTTCAGGCTCGCCTAGTGGAAAGGAGAATATGTGGTGTAAGATGTGTTAACTTGGAGCAAACGATATATAAAATATTAAAAAAGAGAAAACTCACCATACTCTCCATCCACTAGGGAATACTACAAAACAAGTTTCATCAAATGTGGGGTGAAATAAATTGTAAAATGAACAAAGTTTACAAGTAATAAAAAGTTAAAAATATTTGAAAAAACAAATATTAGTCAATTAAAATAGTAAAAATTTTAAATATTCAAGACCATACAAAACAAATCACATACATTAAACAGATTAAAAGATAAGGCTTATTTTAAACAACCTTGTTGTTTTTTCAAAAAACTAACATTTTTGAAAGGAGACCTGTCAAGTTAAGGCCTCTACAGGTGGTGGCAAGTATTAACAAAAAAATTCTTGGGTAAACCCATGACAGGGTATAGGTAATAAGTAAATAATAGGTTTATGGCACCCTATCGAGGGCATATAGTTATAGTAGTACTAAATAATATTAATAATAATAATAATAATGAGACAAGTGATATAGAAAAGGATACTGTTAATGATCGTATTTGGTAACAAGTAGATAAAATCGATGATGCCCAATCCATAATGAAGACATTCAATGTTTACATTGCAACCAACACAGGTAAGTGTTCTAGCGTACATGATATCTGGTTTATGCTTATGCCAAGCCAATTCTCTGATGGCCATAGTCCCTTTAAAAGGTTTAAGATTTTCTGGTAATAAAGAGTACATCTCAGAAATTCTTTGCGATGCTATAGGAATGCATTTAATACCACGACAATTTTCGGTAAGCTCTTTAAGGAATATATCAAAATTCGGTATGTCTTTACCATGGGCCACCAACCTGTCTGCCATTCTTTTAAGGCAACCACCCACACCATCTGGTGCACCTTTGCCGTGACCTGGATCTGAATAGTGCCATCTTAATTGTTCGGCTCCGACTGCATTGGGAATATATTTGGCCATGAAGAAAAACATCTTTTTATTTTTATACTGGGTGCTAGGCCCGTCGCTCAAAACATTGATTGTTCTTAAATTTGGAACGAGACGATGAACTTCATCGAAAACGGGTTGTAAATGTGCACAAATGGCCGACGGATCAGTCTAAGATTCTCATAGTGCAAAGGGACAAGTTTTTCATGTCAGGTGCATCTTTTGTTTTATAATAAATAATTACTGTATGCATACTAATCTGCGGCTTGGACCCTCCAAAATGGGCGGATTGTATTTCTTTTCCATATTTGCAGCCGTAATTTTCCGAAAAATCGATGTGTATAAGAACCTCATCAACAGCAAGTTGCTTTTTTATAACGTCAATTGCATGGTATTGGTGCACTATATTTTGAGTATGTTTCAGAAAGCTAGGAACTAATTTTTTAAAGTGATTAACGGCTTCCTCCTTCTTGCATTCTACTTTTTCTTTAATTGTCTTCTGACACATCTTTGTCTCTCCTTTAATACTTATTTCTACTTTTTTAGTGATCCTCTTTTCGTAACTAATAACTTCCTCTTTGTTAAAATCTAAAATCTTTATTTCATTTCCCAAACAATCTTTACAAATTCTTAATAAACAATTTTCATTTCTCACATCACAACAAATCTCTTTAATTACATTTGTAGGCATACCAGATACTAAAATTTTTGACGATTTTAATTTAGTTGTTAATAATTCAAAGTTATCATGTAATATACACAAACATGTTTCTCTTTTTTGAGCTGTAGGAAAAACAACCCAAAAAGGTCCAAGTTTGCAGAAACTCGAATAACTTATAGTAATTCTTGGATAGGTCTTTTTAAAATCTTCATAGATATTTTTTAAACTGTCATTTAGGTACCTCTTCTGTTTTTTTGCTTTCCGAAATGTAATAGTGTCCTTTT